GGGACGTGCTGTGAAGTGATTGGACATAAGCACTTGTGGTCTGCAATAGCACTGAGTATTTCCTGTGCCTTCCAAGAGGCGCTCCAGGCTCAAAGGGCTGAGATAAGCACCTTACGCGACCTTGGCCAGTGCTGATCCAATAGGTCAGCTGGGAGCTGGGCCGAGGATGGGCCCCAGGCGCGTTTCACAGTAAAGGAAGCCAGCAGCAGAGAACAGTGGGAAACAGAAGGCATGCCCGCTAGCCCCCCAGTGTCACCGGCTCTGCCTTCCCTTGCTGCGCAGCTGTTGGTGCACTCGGTGGTCCGAGGTGAGCGGGCGCAGGCTTCTTGGACAGCACCTGCAATCACTCAGGAGAAGTACCGTGCACGTCCTGCTCTTGTACAGGACACTTTCTCACTTGGGTGTATTTTTCATGTCACATAGATCCAGATCATTAGAAGTCTGTTTGCATAATTGACTTAACTGCTATTGGGCAGGAGGCATGTTTCTGCATTTATTATGGTCACAGAAGATTCCCGAGTCTTTGTCTAACTGCATGGCTTGATGTTCGTATGGCTTTCTGGGACCATTTGACGCAGCAGGCAAATTGGGTTGCATCAGTGTTTTTGTGACTGGAGGTGGTGGCCTGCACGTGGCCTCCGACCAGCCATGGCTGTGCATCCCAACCACTTTACTGAAGCACTGGGTCTCCTCCATTTTCAACATTGGAGACGGAAGAGCACATGGGGTCATTTCCAGTTTTATTCCCAATTTCTCTCCAGTAAGGTCAAACACTGGCCCCTCACTGCCATGTGCCATGAAGTTGTTTTCCTGTTGCAATCATGATGGTCTTCATTTTTATGTTGAAGCCCTTGATCTGTTTCCTGTGGCCTGGGTTTTTGTTGTCTTTGGAATCTTTGTGCGGGGCCTCAAAATGTGCCACTCACCCTGTTTCTTCTCTTCTCTCCAGATACTCTCTGAGTGGTGGAGGAACCTCATCCCACTGAAACGCCGTGGCATTATGGGTTTGGGGTTTTTCTTTCTTCTTCTTCATCCTCCTTTCTCAAAGTCAAGGAGAGCCTCTGCTGGCTGCTGAGCAGATGCGCCACTGAGGAGCCATCCCCTAGCCGCCGGTGCCTGGCCCTCGCTGTGCCGGCCAGATGAAGTCTCTTGGATAGATGGGGTGGGAGGGCCAGCCCCTGCAAGCGATCGTTTTATTATTCCTGTTTTACTTTTCACCATAGTGCACATATTCAAGGAAAGTGTCTTTAAACACACACACACACAACACACACACACACACACCTGAAAGTGTATATTTGGGATTATGAGAAGGCAACTACAGACATGAAACCTCAGGTATCCTGCTTTAAGTTGACAGCTCCCCTGGGAGACGGAGAATCGCTCTGGCGGGTCGGTGTACAGATCTGTATATAGTGTCATTTTTACGGAACCCCTTTGGGCGTGCATAAGGAGTCACTGTGCACACACTGGCCAAGTGCTTCTGTAGATAATGTCAGTGGAGTAAATATTTGACAGGCCATAACTTGAGTCTATTGCCTTGCCTTTATTACATGTAAATTTTGAATTCTGTGAGCAGTGATTTGGGTTTTATTTTGTACTTGCAGGGTTTGCCATGAATAATAATTAACACCCCTTGTAGGGAACACTTCTCTTTGTACCTCAGCACAGGCCCACGTCCCCTTGGTACACTTAGACGTTGATTTCCTGTCTCATGGATGGTACTATGATTTCTTAGTGTTTTAAATCAGAACCTATCTTGTCTCATGGAGCTTTAAATTATTATTATTTCACCTTTCTCCTGGACGACGCGCTCTCGTCTAACACTCGTTTGGTTAGGCTATTGCCGGCCTGCGCCAGATGTGCTGTCTTTTCCAGTACGATTTTCTGTTGCACCTTGCAGTAGAATCTGCATATCATCTCTGCCACCTAAAATGTCTGAATGCTTACACAAATAAATTTTATAACACTGATTTGCACGCTCCTTGAGATGTGGCTCTGCGGCGCTATGTGTGTGCTGGGATGGCAGAGTGTCCAGTGTTGGGTGTGGCTGTCATCCCCTGCCTTCCCCCTGCTCCCAGCAGCCTGGGATGGCTGTCTGGGAACATGGGGTTGAGGACTGAGGCTGTGTGAAGCACCCCCACCGCTTGTTGCTACTCTCTGAGGCTCTGCTGGGAGCCCTTGTCTGCCAAGCACTGTAGCCCAGGCGGCAGTGTTTTGGGGTCTGGCAGGCTAGGAGAGGGGTATATGGCATCTTCCTGTTGATGCTGGCAGGTATTGGAGGCAGCAGGGACATTGGTTTCCAGGTGACCTTGGGACGGAGCTGTGAGTATGGTTTCACAGAATGTGAGGTTTGCAGCTCAGGATGATGTAGGCAAAGCAGGGTTTGTGTGGAACAGCAGCGAGGTGCCACATGGCATGGTGGGGGCATTTCTGGGGAGCATTCTGGGTAGAGGTCCCCCTTACCCCTCCCTAAGCGTGCCACATGGCATGGTGGGGGCATTTCTGGGGAGCATTCTGGGTAGAGGTCCAGCAGGGACTAAGAGAGAATTCTCTTCTCCCCTTACCCCTCCCTAAGCGTGCTGATGGTGAACGAGTCAGTGTAAACAGTGTCAATTGGCTTGTGACTGACTGGGAGATGTGGCATTGCTCTGTGGTAGTCTGCATGCTTAGAGGGTTCTGAGCCAAGCCCTGGGACTACGGTAACAGTGGCTCCTTCAGCACCCGCTGTAAGCATTTTCCGTGGATTCAGCCTGTTGGGAAAGATGGGGCCACCTCTGTGTATGATGTCTTCTGCTTGCTATTTTTGTAGACACACATACTTCTAGTTCAATTAGGCACCAGGACCCAGAGCCACAGCTGGGCCCTGTTGGTTGCCGTCAGTTCCGGTCAGTGCGTAGACCTGCTGTGGCTGGAGAGGCTTGGTGCCGAATGCAAGTGGGGGCTGGGAGCTGTGGGCTGCTCCCTGCGGCTGATGTAAGGTGGTTGTGCAGGACTGGGCATACACCTACTTGTGGTGTCTTGTGTCCCGGCCAGCTGCACACAGGTTGATCACTGGTGTGGCAGCGGCATAGCCGGGCTCTACTTGTCCTGCATCTGGGTGTCCCTGCCTGCCCTTGGACCAGCTCTTGCCATGTCTGACTTGGTTCTTGCCTTTTGTACCTTATGCTTTATAGCGACTCCTTCCTTTTTAAAACACAGCTTCTATGTTTCTGCAAAACCCAGCAGTGGAGGCAGACCGTGCCCTGGGTGTGCTCGGAGTACAGGTACTGTAGTGTTAAAGCGCCGAGAGCATGAACACGTGGGCAATTCCATCTTACCAGCTGCTGGGGGGCCAGCTCCTCGGGCCGCACCTGGCGGGGCAGGGCTCCAGGGTGTTCTGAGGTGGCACCCAGAGGGGGTCCAGCGCTGGGTCTGAGTCACATGGGAAGGCTGAGAGGAAGTCTTCGTGGCTTCCTGGGTTCAGCGACAGGGCACTCAGGAGGGAGTGTTTTCCTGCCACTGTTTTGCCCCTGTGGTGATGGGAGTTCCTGGGGTTTGCCTTGTTCTCCCACTCGAAGCGGACATCTTGCTTCCCAGTACCCTCCCAGGGGCCCCCTCCGCCCGTGGAGACAGGGTGAGTCGGCCCTTCCCCAGCCCTCTGCTGTTTCCCTCTTCTAAACATGCTTGGGTGGGGGGCTCAGCCCCTTCCCTTTCACAGGTACCCTGCAGAGCGTACCAGGGCATTCATTTTAGACTTGTCACCACACACATACACACACGAATGAAGACCAGACAAGGCAGCTGCTTTTGCCTTAAAACTTCCATATGCTGGACTGTGACGTGAGGTATTTTTATTCCCTTTTGTTAGTACTTGAAACCATCTGGTACATATTGTAAGGCAAATGATGGACAGGTCTCCAGCTCCTGTGGGTGCCAGTTGTGCACACCAGCACGGCTCTAGGACGGCGGAGGGTCTGGATGCTCGGGTGCTGAGCGGGCCGCCGCCCCAGAGAGTTTAAGACATGTTAGAAAGGGCCAGGGTACACTAAGGGATGAGCAGCCACTGCGCGCCATGGGGGAAGAGGCAAAGGTTGATGGTCGGAAGCCATGTCCCCCGACTAGTCAGCCGGGGAGGCACAGCATCCACCACCGATGCCCCGTGCCCAGGGCGGAGCGTATAAAAGAGCAAAGATGGGCACGATATATACTACTAGAGAATGTGCAGTTTCAAACCACAGTTGGAGGATCTAGGCATGGCCACGAGGGGAGGGGCAGGGAGGGGCAACGTACCATTACTGGGTGGTGCTTGTGTGCCCAGAGGCTCACAGTCCCCCAGAACACCACACGGCCCTGCTCAGGGACACACAGGCTTTCATGCTTGTGAGACAGCACCACACCATGGCCACGGATCTTCTCACCACACAATGGCAGCGTACAGGGCCAGGCAACCATGGAGTGTGCAAGAACCCCATGCTGTGCCTTCACTCCTTGGAACGGAAAGCCACCCAGTCAGTCTGCACATGGCAAGTGTGCTGGAACGATTGGGTCGGGAAGGTCGTCTGGTGAGAGGTGGCCCTGGCACAGGAACCTGCCCCGCACGTGGCACCTGGAGTGTGCTGCGGATTGCTTTTGAATCAGAGACGTGAGTCTGACTAACTGCTATTATTATAAAAGTAGAAAGACGACAAAAATGACATCTGTGAAAAGGCTGTCGTTTGCTGAGGACCACGCCACGCGTGTTGCACACTGGGAATCCATTCCGTGGCAACAATAGCCTGGAAGGGCAGAGGCTGAAGATGCAGCAGAGCATCTGCCCAGTCTGCTGGCTGGCGGATACAGCCACACCACTGTCACGGCGTCCTTGAGGTCATCGTCACATGTGGAGGGCGGCACTGTTCCTTGGCACTGTCAGCGACAGCAGGGTAATACTGGCGCAAGCTGGGAGAGCAGCCCCCTTGGATGGGGCTGGTTGTGGGAGGGGGCACCATCCAGTTTGAATGAAAAGACACGGGTAACGCTTTTGCGAAGGGAGACAGGCAAGAGTGGTGGGTCACACCATCTTCACTTCTTGTGGGCTTTGTCACACAGGAGAGCGTGCCTTCTGGGCAAGCCATCAGTATGCGTGGGTATCCTTGTGACTTGAGATGGAGGCCCGGGAGGCTGAGCTGGTGGCACTTCGGATCACCTCCATCCACCTAGAGGGCAGGATGTAAACAGTGGGGACCAGGTCCCAGGCAGCGGGTCTCCACTGCTCTGGTGGTGGGACCTCAGAACTCCCGGACACAGCAGCCCCAGAGGGCTCATGTTGGAAAGGGCTGGCCAGGGAAGCCTACTGCCCTTGGGCCACCAGGACGACACCCTAAGCGGGGGAATAGCCCTCCTCTCCTCCATTCCTGTGTGGCCTTGGCCCTGAAATGACCTGGGGTTGCACTGTCTTCTGGCCCACACAGGTGGAGCTCAGCACTGTGTCTGCACTCCCCGTTTGTGGTAGAAAAATGCAATTAGTTATATTGATTTGGCGCAAATTTTTAAATCCAGGCATACAAGGAATCCTCTACAAAATCTAATGGAATAGGCCTCAATTCCAAAAATTTGGCGGGGGGTCTGTTGCACACATGCATGTTAAAGATGCAACATGTGACAGCAGTGGCATGAGCTAGCACCATATAGGCCTAAGGACAGACATGGCTGCTGGCATCAGGCAGAGGGCCCCAGCGTTGCCACTAAGCAAGTCCCTTGCTGGGGAGCCCTGCACTCGGGGGGGGTGGGGCACCTACCTCTCAAATGTATATTCGCTCTCGGCCCTAAAATAGTACACATGGGACTTGAAGTGCAGCTTGAACACGTAGTCCTTGTGGATGTTCTCAGACTCCGAGGGAATGGTGAGTGAGTACCCGAGCAGGGGCAGACTGGCAAGGGGATGGCTGTCCTGCAATGGAGGGACAGAGGGGGCGGCTGCAGCCTGGGCAGGGACACAGGGAGCTGGCTCAGCCTCTAATGCTGGTGGTAAGGTCGACCCCACCCCTGGAAGAAGGTAGGCAGTCGTCTTTGCTTGGAGCTGAAGCCTCCTCGGGGACACGGCTGCCCTGGCAGCTGTCCCCATCTGCCCGCATGCACCTGGGTGCTTACCTGGTGTGACTTGTAGAAGAACAGGCAGAAATTGGTGAACACCACCCACAGCTTCTGCCACCCGTTGCTGTTCTTAAACTTCCTCAGCAGGTTCCCAGACAGCTGATTCTGAAAGACAAGCAGGCTGGTGAGTGGTGCTAACTGGGCAGGTCTTGGCTCTGCAGAGAGGCCCTCAGGGGCCCACCAGAGCTGTCACAGGAGGTCCTGGGCATGGCATTCAGGGTGGACTTGTAGCTCATTGTGAACAGTCTCCTAACAGGTAGAACCCCCAGCATGGGGGCAGCAGGCCCTGCTACCCTCTGGAACTGAGAACATCATCCACGTCCCAGCTCTCCTGCCAGCCATGGTCACCCAGCCAGCCTCAGCAGGACCACCCCCTAGTGGGCCTGGTGGGAGCCCTGGCTCCATGCCCCCCAGCTCAAGGAAAGGCTGGCCTAACTCCCAGGAACACCAGGACCTAGAGCTTGGCAGCTGAACAGTGTGCCTAGGAACCTGCTGGCAGCCCTGGGAGTGGCAACAGAGGCCAGGGGCAAGCCAACGACCTCCAGCTCCCAGCTGAGGACTGTATCCGCCAGCGAGGGGCAGAGGAAGCAGTTTCAGCCACTTCCTGTGCCAGTACTGTGTGGCCCCAGGAGCCTGCAGGCTGTGGGAAAGGCCAAGATGCACATGGCTTCACATGAACTCCCTTACTTGTTAGACATGGTTTCCTGTCCACCAAGGCCAGCCTCCTGTGTGGGTCGGGCTCTTCACTGGTGCTGCACAGCAGGTGGGCATGACCTGCACCTTAGCCAGTCCCTCCGCTGGTGTCCACCCCTACATGCTGCTGAGGCTCTGTGCCCCATTCACAGTGTGCCACTGCTCCCACCCACATCCTCAGGGCATGCAAGGGAACAACGGGGATTGCAAGTATCCTTGGAGGGGGACTGTATGTGCCCAGGGCATGTGGCTGCAAGCGTGGGACGCTGAGGATGGGTGATGCTGCCAGGAGCCACCCCCTGAGGACACCTGAGTTGTAATACGCAGTACCACCTGAGAGCCGCAGGGACAGATACTTGGGGTGTCCCAGTCGCTGGAGACCTTCCCGCTGTCCTGGCTCTAGCCTCAAAAGCCAGCTGGCTTCCCCACCATCCTGTCTTAACAGGAGGTCTCTGTCTCTGCTTCCAGAGAGGCCTGCGCGAGTCAGGTGCCCGACCCAGCGGGGGTCAGGAGGCAGTCTGGGGGATCACACAGACCGCTGGTTGTGAAGGCAGCTGTGGCCACCACCCAGTCAGAGCTCAAGCCGTGGGAACAGCTTCTGGCAGGAAGGAGGCACCTTAGAAGTCTACAGAGACTGTCCCATCTTAAAACCAGTATGACCAAGAGGCAGATGTGGCCTAGAGAGGCACTGTGGTGTCACAAGTAGAGCTGCCACCTGTGAGGGCATTCTCCAGCCGCCCCACTTCTGGGCCAGTTCCCTCCTGATGGCCTGAGCAGCAGCCATGGGAGGCCTGACTCTTGTGTCAGCCACTATGGCTGTTCAGGCCATGAACCAATGGGTAAAAGATCTGTTTCCCTTTGAAATTAATGAACTAAGTGTTTTGGGCTAAGAGGCAAAACTAAGGATATTATGTAGCCGTTTAAATAGGTAGAAGGCAGGCCAATGTTTAGCAGAATACAAAGCTGGCAACCCACATTGGGGTACTGCCTCAAGTCCCAGCTGCCATGCTCATGTGACTGGAAACGCAAGGGAACACGCCCAGGTAACAGGCCTGAGAGCCACGTGGGAGACCAGAGCTCCTGGCTTCGGCCAGGCCCGGCACCATCACAGCTAGCTGGAGCATGAACCAACAACGGAAGGTTTTTCTTCCTCTCCCTGAGTCACTCTGCCTTTCAAATCAGAATAATTTATCCTTAAAAGACAAAATGTAAAAACTCACTCAGCTCCCAGGCAGTGGGCTACCTGTGTGGGCCGGGCCACTGCACGAGGGCTCAGGGAGGACATGCCACAGGGCCTCCGGACCGGACTGAGGTGCCTGCTGCATCCCGGGGCCTCCAAGGAGCTCATGTCTGCGCCCACAGCACTCACACCCCCTACTCATGACCCCGACTTGGCGGAGATCAGGGTGTAGGTAGGCACACTTGGCTTCCCCAGCAGAACTGCACTGCAGTGGACAGATCAGACCCGAGGGAGTTGTCCAAGCCTCCTGGGAGCAGTCTCAGACCCACCAGCTCTGTGCATACGGATCCTGCACCCACAGAGGTTGTGTTCACACTTCCAACTGAGGCCCCCAGCTGAAGCCTGCTGGGACAGTTTCTCTTAGGGGAGCCAGGTCCTATGCTTCTGCCCTGCCCTCTGCTCACTGGCTGTGGTGGGACTCAGGAGAGGGGGTTCTATGGGACGGTCCCTGAGACCACCCATGTTGGCCCACTCCCAGGCTGCTGGTTTAGGAATTAAGAGGCTCTCCATTTTAGAGAGTGGGTGCAGGCTCTGCTGAAGACGCCGGCTGGGTAGGGCAACTCTACCTTAGCCTCTAACTCACAAATGCCCTGCACCACCTGGGCAGGCGCAGGCTTCCTGGGCCCAGACTGCAGAAAGCTTAGTCTAGAAGCCTTTGCAGTCCAGGCGCAGTGTCAAAGCCAAGGTTCAGCACAGTTCTCAGAGCCCATGGGTGCAGCGCCTGCCCCAGTGCGCTCCCATTCGGGTTCTGCCAGGACACTATCACCTCTCCTGCTGGGGACCTGGAACTGCCCAGTCTGTTCTTCCTGTGCCACCACCATCACCTCTACAGGCGGGGGAGGGGCGAGCTTCCTGGACAGGGCTGGGATGACCCTGGAGGGGGACGGTGGTCGGAGGCACACACAGCTCCTCTCCCTCCGGCAAGGTGCCAGGCAGGCGAGCAGAGCCAAGCCCACCCCCAGCCCGTACCTCCACAGCGATGCTGAAGTCCACCATGGAGACGCTGGTGTTGCGGTGCCAGCACACATGCACCATCGTGTTGCCACGGTGTGGGGCCTGGCGCTCTAGGGAGGTGCGTGAGGCGCTGAGGTCATCCTCTGACTCCTGGTCGGCTATGGTGGCCTCGTCGGGGGACTCTGCAGGGGAAAGGAAGTGCAGCTCACCTTGGCTCACCAGGGCAGGAGTATCTCCTGGCACCCTCTGGGGCACTGAGGAAGGCTGGCAAGCAGGGGTGGAACCTAACAAGTCCTGTCAGCCACGGAAGGCCTCACCCACACTGTATGACAAGTGGACTGTTGCCCCAGGGCCCCTGCCGCCTCTCAGCTGCTCTGAACGCATTGCTTCTAGTGTAGGCTCTGCGGCACCCAGCCGTAAACACAGCCCCGTGCACGCCACTCACTGTTGTCCGGGGGGCTGCTGGCCAAGAGCTCTGGGCTGGGGCCACTGCTCTTCTCCGCCAGGTCGATGGCCATCTGGATGTCCTCAACCCACTTCTCCATCTCGGCACGGGAGCTGCAGTGGAGGTGGCCGTCAGAGCTTGCTGGTGCCACAGGGTGAGGGCTGATAGGGCAGGGGCGAGGGTGTGGCCTTACCTGGCAGCCACAATGATGGACTGCCGCTGGCCCCGGAGTGTCAAGCAGTGGGGCAGTCCCCACTCGTCCTCGCCTTCCTCGATCTGGAGGACAAAGAGGACCATCCCACAGCCTGTAAGCTTTCCCACAAAGACACAGATCCAGGGAGGCGAGCAGAGGTCAGTGGATGCTGAGGCTGAACGCCTGGGAGACTGGCACAGCGCTGCGATCCTGCACGGAGGGGCTGTGCGTGCTGCAGGCCATGGTGGAGGACAGTGGAAAGCACATGGGCTGGCCTGTGTGGGGTGACCCATGCCTTGATGCTTTGCTTGGTTCCAGGAAGCATCATCCATGTGGAGGGTACAAGCTGAGGCCCCATGAGCTCCACTGGAGAAGCCCTCCCAACTGGAGTAGAACTGGGGGTCCTGCAGCCTGGACTTGTCACCCAAAACTGCAACCCCTCCTTCCCCCAGCTCTTGGGTCCTTGCACACCAGCCCCGCCCTGTGGCTCACATTCCCTCTAGTCAAGCCAGCCATCTGCCCATACTCACTGTCATGCCATAGAGCGGGAGCTGCCCGTGGACTTTAAACTGATTGGACGCCGTCAGCCCCCGGCTGGTGTACAGTAAGACGTCATTGAACTACAAGGACAAAGGAGAGGGCGGCCAAGGTGAACGAGCTGACTGACCCCAGCAGGCACTGCCAGCATAAGCTTGTCCACCTTTCCTTACAGTCCACGAATCTCAGCAACGAAAGGCAGAAGGCAGGCTGGCATACAGGGGTTCCGGAGTCGGGGTGGGGAACAGGCTAGAGCCTGCACTACTTACCAGGAAAAACATGCGCTGCTGGAGCCCCTTCCCCGACAGCTTGCTGAGGCTGCCCAGGCGGATGAACTCCTGCCGAGAAAACCCCGCCCAGCGTTGTCAGCACTGGGACCCCCGCTCCCACACAGCCCGCCCTTTCCGGAGCATCATGGCATTCCCACCTCCAGGAGGAGGGGACGTGCACTTGGGGTTTGCAGTGGCTGGGGCCCACACTGCGCTAAGCCCTGAACCCCAGGCTCTGCACTTGCGCACTGTGGCCGCTAGGGGGTGTTCATCGAGAAGGCAATGGTATTAAGGCAACTCTGGTTTATAAACCAGAAATTGAAAGGACCCCAAGCTACACATGCCAAAACACACCCTGCTGTCCCAGTCTTAGTCTCCCTTGGATCAGAATCACTTAATCCTGCTAAAACAGACGCAGACACCCACCCCAGCTCTTCACCTGTTAAGCCATTCACCATAAGGTCTCGCTGCAACACGTGCTCCCTTCAGGGACCTCCCACCAGCCCGTCTCTCCTGCAAGGTGCCTTGGCTTAAGGAGCCGGAGGTCTGACTGGGTTTCCTCAGCAGCAGAGCCGGAGCTGCACTTCCCTGGGGCACTGACATACTCTCACCACCAGGCTTCCCATCAGAGAAAAGCTCTCCCACACAGGCGGTATCCTGACCTGACCGGAGTTAGCCAAGACAGGAGCACCTGTCGGAAGGTTAAGGTGGGCACCGCAGACTCTGGAGCCTGGTGCTGTCCCCTAGCCTGGCTGCTACAGGCCATGAAACACCGCACTCTGGGACATGGTCCCCTGGGTTGGAGGAGCTGCAGTGTCCTGCTGACTCAGAGCGGGTGGGCCTGCCTCCGGGTCATGCCCACCACCTGCTGTTAAGGCGACCACCTGCAGCTGCTTTAAAGGGGGTGGCAGCAGGTGTCCTCGACTCTCCCAGAATGCTTTTCTGGAAAATGTGGCTCTGATTTTGAATTAAAGAATTACAGTATGCCTGGAAAATACACGTTTCAGCAGTTGTCTTTCTGGTGCAGCGGGTTAAGCAGCCACCTCATGCCAGTCCCGGTCCAAGCCCTCACCGTGCTGCTGGTGGTCTGGGACAGCCCCAGCCATGGGGGCCATTTGAGGAGTGAACACAGGATAGATGTCTTTCTCTACAACTCTGCCTTTCAAATACACAAAATGAGTCTTTAAAAAATAAAATATATAAAACAAAATTTGAAAAATCATATAAACAAGGTGCTGGCATGACTTCAGGGCCTAACTGGGTGACTCCAAGTGAGCCATGACGTTCCCACTGGCGGAGCAAGCATGGGAGAGTCAGTGGCAGCCGGAAGTGCCCAAACCCCGGACATGCCTTTTCCTGGCTCCACGACTGAGCCAGCACGGCGTGCCTCCTTACCCTGCCTGGGACGACGAGATTGTCGATGCCGATCAGGTCTTTCTTGAGCTCATGCAGCTTCTGGAAGTTCTCCATTTTGATCATCGTACCGTGGAGCTGGGCCACCATTTCTGTGATCTCGGCCAGAGCGGCTGGCAGGGACATGCAGAGCGTCAGCACACAGCAAGGGCACTGCTGCCCACACAGGACGCGTGTGGGGGTCTGACGTGGAGGCAGTTCCCTCAGGACCCGAGTCTTCAGGACCTGCCGCACCCCTCTCCCCCTAGCCTGTCACAATCTTGCCTTCCTGGCTCAGGGCACGCTGCTCCTGCTCAGCTGTGGCTGCAATCCCCAGGGCTGACCCTGCCCTCACACGTCCCCACTAGACACTTCCTGTGCACCCAGCATTCAGAGCTGGCAGCGAGGAGCTTGGCGAGGAGGACGATGGGGCCCGGGAGGCCCGAGGCACTCATGCTGGGAGCACCCGACCGCCCTCTTCTAGTTCAGGCAAGGCCCGGTCCGCACCCTTTCAACAGGCCCTGGTCTTCTCTCAGCGGCACAGCCGATCGGCCACACCAGGTTAGGGTGGGCCAGGTCAGCGCCACCTCGCAGGCCAGGAACACGCCAAGGCCAAAAAGACTACCAGAAGGGTTTTGTCAGAAGACTAAGGAGGCGCGGGGGGATTCGAAGGCGAGCAAACAGGTTTACATCAGCATCCCTTGTTTGGGAAAGTGCTGGTCTATACTACACCACACTCAGGGCTTCAGAACATGTGGGTTCTGGGTCCCGTTCACTATTCCAGACAAATGTTTGCTCTTTCTGGAATGTTCCCCAGCCTCTGTCCTGTCAAAGCCACTGAAGTGCCAGCCTTCACACTCTCCCCTCATTCAGCACATTTCAGCTCTCAACTTCGCCACCTTGGCCCCAGACACCTGACCCCTTCCCACAGCCCTGGGGCCGAGAGTCCCAGAGCACACACTTGCCCACAGCAATGCTGGTCCCCGCTCAGGCAACTTCCTGTGGACCGAGCAGTAGGCCCCACAAGGACACAAGTCGTACCCACTCCTTCCACCCTTACACAGGTGCTCAGATGTCTGTCTGGTCCACCAGAGACTGGGAGGGACCAGACAAATTGCAGGACAAATTCAAACTGGAGCCTGGAGTAGTCCGGTGTCAACAGACTCACGTGAAGGAGCCAGACACACATGTTAAAAAAACAGGCGGCAGGGGTTTCCAGTACTTTGAGCAAGAAATGAGGGCCTCGACAGGCTCACAGTGGCTCTGCCCAGGTGCCGCCTCCATAGGGTCCACTATGTGGACCGCCCTGGCTGCACAATGGGAGGCTGAGTGAGTGGCAGCCGGGGACCTCGAGGAGCTGACGCTCTACGTCAGCAGGTGCACACGCAAGAGATACAACGATCAGCTACATGAAGAGGGTGCTAAGCTCAGAGGGGAAGGAGTGCCCAGAGACCCCGTGACGTTTTACTGAGTGACGCTGCATCTCCCCTGCCCCTTCCTGATCTTGTGGCGCTGTTAGCCGAATTCAAGTATGAATTTCCAACACGGGATCCAGCCCAGGGGCAGAGGAGTGAGCCACACACACTGCTGCTGCCTAGCTGTGAGGCTAGTTCCCGCGGCACTCTGCTCTCGGTCGCTGTGCATGTAATGGGCTCACAGGGGAAGTGTGCACTCTAAGCTGGAGCCAAGGCTTGGCAGCATCTGTGACCTGCCACCTGCCACGGTCAATCCAGGGAAGAGTGATGGCAGAGCAGGGTGTGGAGTGGGGCACCTGCGAGGGCACCTTCTCCAGGTTTCTTGGTACCCAACTACCCTGGTGGGGGTCCTGGGGCAGGGGGTGGGGAAATAGGGCACCCATTCTTTGTGGCAGAGGAGAGGCCAGGTCCCGGTGGCACTCACCGCGGCAGTCCCTGAAGTCCACGTGGTTGGGCGAGTGGTACTTGCACAGCCGCTCCAGCACCTGCTTGTAGTGCATGAGCCGGTGCAGCGGCCGCAGGAGGAAGGTGTTGAGTGGCAGGTAGCACACCTTCTGCAGCTCGAAGTCCCGGCAGAAGTTCTCCAGCCGCCGCGAGCTCTTGAGCCCGTTCTCCAGTGCCTCCAAGGCCTCGCTGTGGCGCCACAGGTGAGCGGCCAGGTGCTGGGGGGGGCACAGAACAGAGGCAGGTGAGGCCGGGCCCTGACTGGGGGACCTGAGCGGGCACATGTCCCCGGATCAGCCTGCGAGCATGCAGCATTAAACATTCACTTCCTTTTCTTACACTTCGTCCTGCTCACATTTGACTCTTGGATATTTCAGTGAAGTTCGCAGGACACAACGAGCTCCACAAAGGGACAGAACAGTTTGAATAGATGAGTTGTATATACACTATTAAGAGAATAAGTTTCTTTAAAATATTTGTGAATTTTTTTATTTAAAAGGCACAGTTGCTGAGAGAAGGAGAGGCAGACATCTGCCATCCACTGGGTCACTCCTCTGGTGGCCACAGTGCCCAGAACTGGGCCAATCGGAAGCCAGGAGTTCCTCCAGATCTGCTGCATGCCTGCAGAAGCCTGCATTGGAAGCGGAGCAGCCAGGACACAAACTAGTGCCCATATGGAAGGCCAGGGCCACAGGTGAAGGCTTAACCTAGTATGCCACAGCGCCAGTAGCCAAAAGGATTTATTTTTATTTGAAAGGCAGAATTGGGCTATCCTTTCTGGCTCACTCCCCAAATGGCTGCAACAATCAGAGCTGTGCCAGGCCAAAGCCAGGAGCCAGTGGAGACAACAGTGCCATGAAATGTGGCTATAGAAGTCATCACATAAACTGTGTGAATTAACATGTGTTAGAAGTATTAATGGGCTACAATGAAAAACAATGCACAAACATCAGATATAAGACATTACAGAAGTGTAGTGGGACTGTGGTGTGGTCTGACTTGTCCGTGGCATCACTGTGGGTGTCTCCAGAGAGGGACAAGTGTGCCTGTCCGAGGCGCTTGCTGTGTTTACCGGAAACTCCTACACCGCTCCTAGGCCAACAGTGTGCCAGGCTTAGAAGCCAAACAGCTGACCCAGAAGGAAATCCGCAGACCACCCATGTTCTGTTGACGTTAAACGAGCATCTTCACATAGAGCCGCTGTTGTGTGGGTGCCCCACGGAGCTTTTACAAACCATCCACCGTGAAACGTGCTTCCCAGAGGAAACGGGTGGAGTCATCGGGGCTGTTGGGCCAGGAGTCCCGGGAGACGGGCAGCCCACTCTTCTGTCCTGGCTGAGCTCATGCTCTCTGCAGCTCACCTTCAGGCCCTGGATGTTCTTCAGCAACACGTCCCCAATTCTTTGGTAATCTCCTTTGCTGTGGGCGTTGGAGCGGCCTTCCCTGAGGACACAGATGCAGAAACAGAGTGTGAGCATGGCAAACATGAGGGGCCAGCACCTCTGCACCCCCAGCCAAGAGCAAGGCAAGGAAGGGTGGGATGACAGAGAATGGGAGGGGAAGCCGAGCTCCACTCATCTCCCTCCCTGTGTTCTTCTGCCAAATATGAAAGGGCAACTGACCAATGGCGACAAAGCCTCGGGCTCCAGAGGACATGCCCTCCAGGACCCACCAGGGCTATGCTGTGCCTGCTGCTCCTGTGTGGGAAGGAGGTCAGCTCTAGGGAAGCCATGAAAACAGGCTGGGGGCTCTGAAGTGCCTGCTGCCCATCCCACTCAAGCCTCCGTATCCTGTGGGTCCAAACACACAGGCCACACTGTGGGACAGGGACCAACAATGAGTGTCCTGTCACTCCGTTTGTCAGCTTCCTTCCTACGTCACAGCCACCAAGCCCACCATGTACATATATCCAGAGCCTTTGTGTCATCAGGGGCAGCCAGAAGGTCACTATCATTCACACACACACACACACACGCAATTATGTCTCTTCCGGAACAGGCCTGGATGTTCGCAGCCCAAGAATGGGGCCCTTGTGTGCAAGGCACACCCACACAGTTGCTATCTGTGTAAACGCCTTGCAGCACTCCGCCACCACGGCCACGCAGCCCATGCCACGGGGTGGATGTCTCCCAGGAGCCACCACCTGCGTCACTATGCAGACTTCTCTGCCTCTGGGTGTGCTCTCCGTGGAGAACAAAGTTCCCGCTTGCAAAGCCATTGAGTTCTTATTGGGGAAAAAAAATCACATTCTTCTCCACATTTCCTAGGATTGCAAATGGGAAAAAAAAATGGAGCAGGTTCCCCAAGCCAGTGTGTTCACGGAAACAACAGGATCACAGACACGCGAGTGAAAATCACCAAGGCAAACCTCGCGCTGGCATGCGCAGCAGCATCCAGAAGGCCGTGGGAAACCGGGACTGAGAGAGAATTCCTTTTGGCCCACCATATTTTGAGACCCAGGCATACGAGAGATCTTCAGAAAGTGCAGGAGAAAGGCATATTCCGTGAAAGCTGCACACATGGGTTTCAAAATGGTACACACCAAAATCACCTCATTTTTCAATCCCATTTTCTGTGAAATTTTCAAAGAACCCCTGGCCGTGAGGGTTCAAAAAGCAAAGCGTCAGTCAGATCCCCGTATGTTACGTTCAACATGTACACTGGCCGCAGGTAATAAATGTGTGTTTCGGCATCCCTTGAGGGCGTGGAGCTTTGAAAGCCACAGTGAAAGGAATGCACAGGCAGTAATGCCCATCTCTACACGGTGGGGAGGGGCGAGGCTACCACATGCCCATCAATTACAGTGGCAGGTTGCCGCCAACATCCTGGCTTCTTTCCTTCTGAGGTCAACAGTGGATTAGGGTAAGAGAAGGTCTAGCCTAGTCCCATGGTCACCAGAGGTGGCGATAAGGAGTAGGCCAGATGTGTCAGACTCTCCCAAGGGTGCAGGCAGCATTCCCTCCATTGAGGCTCCCACCCCACTAGGACCCGAGGCATCGGCTACAGAGCTCCAAGGACAGAGCAGACCTCGGCTTCCGCATGCATTGCCCTCACCTACAAGCCATGGGCAGGGGCGCCAACTCTCCCAGAACTTCACTCCCCTAATGATACTACAGGAATGATGATACCAGCAGCCTGGAAGGTTCTTTTTGAACAAGGGTTGGCAAACTTTGACATAAAGCATATCAGACATCATGGCCATGCAGGAAGTGGTCCCAAGCACGCAGGTGTTGACGTAGCACAACCTGCTGGCAAGCAGCGAAAGACTGGAGCGGCCATGTTGCAATACAACTTCTCCAACAAACGCAGGGGCTGAGCTGATCCGGCTCAGGGGCTGTAGCCGTCATCTGCTTTGCAAGATCAAGTGAAACACACAAGTGACGGTGGTGATTTTTTGATTTGGCTCAGGGCATGCCAACTTGGCCGTGCTGCGATGCAGATGGCACACAGCGATTGCTCATGGCCGGTGGGCTACTAGTTTTGATGCTACATGTTTTCCACACGAATGTGATTTTGTTTAAGTCTAAAAGCTCTGCCTTTTCTGGTTTTCCTGGACCCTCTATTTGCAAAAGATCAATCCTTGGCTTTGAAGCTTGGCACAGCAAACGCACCATGACATTATCACAGCTGTCACTACGTGGCACCTGCTGTGTGGTGGGTCTCACATTTGTCTAGTTCCTTCTTCATTCTTCAGATGAACATTGACCAATACAAGGTGCTGGGATGACATTAGCTGCCTGGGACCTTAGCCGCTGGCCACTGGCTGGTGCTCATTGTACATGTGGCTAGTGCTTCAGAGCGATTTACAGTTAAAACTGTAAATTACAATTAGACTGTCAATTAGTTAAATTACTGCAGGTATGGGCCCAGCGTGGAGGCTTAGTGGCTAAAGTCCTCGCCTTGCACTCTCCAGGATCCCATATGGGCACCAGTTCTAATCCCAGCTGCCCCGCTTCCCATCTAGCTCCCTGCTGTGGCCTGGGAAAGCAGTTGAGGATGACCCAAAGCCTTGGGACCCTGCATCCGTGTGGGAGACCTGGAAGAGGCTCCGGGCTCCTGGCTTTGGATTGGTGCAGCTCTGGCCAATACAGCCACATGGGAAGTGAATCATGGATGGAAGATCTTTCTGCCTCTCCTCTCTGTGTATCTGACTTCCCAATAAAAATAAATAAATTCAAAAAAATGACTGCAAGTAGCCAGTGGGCACTTTATTGGGCCACACAGCTATAGATAGTCTACTAAGCTTCACTTAGCTTTTTCTTTTTCTCCTATCTGTAAGCTGTCTCAAGATCTGTTTGAGAAAGATGGGTATGAAAGGATGAATTCCACTATAAATACAAAGCGTAACAGGAATTCTGATGCAGACACAGGAGAAAGGACTCCAACATCATCTGCATTCATTCCCGTCCTGAGCAAAGAACACGCAAACAGCGCCCCCTGGAGGCACCCCAGGTCTAGGCGGAGCAGTAAGACAGCAACCAGGATAAGGAGCGAGAACCATGGCTTTTGAAGTCAGTTTTCCAGGTGGAAAAATCAGTTTCGTTTCGAGCAACCTTGCTGGGTCAGGGGATCTCTGAGCTACAGTGGAGGTCCCCTAACTCCTGGGAAGCAGAGCACTCTCAGTGGTGGGGACAGACAAGCTGCCAACCGCTGACTGGCATTACTCCAAAGAAGGGGGCAGTGTGGGTTGGCTTGCTTCACACTGGGCGACATCTGCAAAGAATGACCAGTTCCTGAGCCACGCCTGTATGTGACAAGCATTGTTCTTGCTGAGTAAGTCAGCGTATTCTCTGCACTTTACCCTGTAAGGCTCTTTTGATTTGGAGTGATGCCATATAACACAGAAATCAGATTCTTTCCTTATGGGGAACCTGTCCATGGACACCAGCTTGGCGTAACCAGGCTGGACACAGGCCTGCTGCGTGTCACGGTGTCCATGCTGTCGGCAGCACAGGCAACCTTTCAGACATGTATGGGGCTGGGGGTTTGAGCTGTGCCTCCAGGAACAGCCAGGTGATGGCTGATCTGACTTGCCAAGAGGAGAGGCAGATCCAGGCTGGAAGGCTGCACCCAGCAGACCACCACCTGGGGCTCCCGCCTCTTAGGATGCTTCTGAGTTAAGCAGAGCTTTCCCCTTTGTGGGACAGAGGTGGGCCCAGTGGGGGCCACTGTAGGAGCTCCCCCAAGCCTGAAGGAAGAATGCCTGCTCTCCGGAGGCTGGGATGCAGCAGGTGGGCTCAGGCCCTCAGCCTACTGGCTGAGGTCTCACGGGCCTGCCTCGGGTGGGGCTGGGGTGAGAGGGCTTGGCTGTGGTGAGGGCAGGGATAGGGTGAGTTAGGGCGGGGCTGAGGTGAGAGGGCAGGGCTGAGTGACTGAGGGTGGGGCTCGTGTGAGGGCTGGGCTGGACTAAGAGGGATGGGCGCCCTAGAGCGCCATGCTAGGAGGGCCTAGGGACACACAAGGTGCTACCTACAGAGTGGTTGCCAGGGTTGGCGGACACTGGTTGTGCTTGCCAATCCATCTAGAAAACAACGCTGTGGATGGAGAGGACGAAGGCTTCCGAGAAGGAGCAAATAGGCGCCGTGAGCTTGCACTTACATGGAAGCCATGCTGCGCAGCTTTCTGAATCAGTAAAATAACTGGGCTCTCCCCTCAGCGCGAGCATGGCGGCCTGGGTGCACCTGCTGCCTGGAGGATGGAGGCTTGCAACCCCGCGTGCCTCCTGTGTCCCAGGGATGGCAAGGACCGGGAGAATTCATCCAGGATGCCCCAGGCCTTTCCAATAATCTGCCTGCAGAGTAACGAGTAACCCACAGGTGCTGGCATCTATCGTATGCCAAGCACACTTGCTGTCTTGAGACAAAACTGCCCTACCTGGGAAATTTCTAGAAGAGCCTCCGGTGTACCTGCCAGCTCACAAACCCTCTTCCACCTCTTACACCCCAGGAACGGTATGCCTAACCCCCTCCTGGCCCCTTAGGACACTCCACCACTGCATTCTTTTTTTTTTAATTATTATTTATTTTTTATTGGAAAGTCAGATATATAAAGAGGAGGAGAGACAGAGAGGAAGATCTTCCATCCACTGATTCACTCCCCAAGCAGCCACAATGGCTGGAGCTGCGACCATCCGAAGCCAGGAGCACAGAGCCTCTTCTGGGCCTCCCATGCTTGGGGCCATTCTCACCTGCTTTCCCAGGCCACAGGCAGGGAGCTGGATGGGAAGTGGTGACACCGAGATTAGAACCAGTGCCCATATGGGATCCTGGCGCGTACAAGGTGAGGACTTTAGCCACTAGACTACCATCTGGGCCCCACTCCTGCATTCTCTCTGTCTCATCTGCTGGTTTTTATTCTGCCACAGTGGACCTGGTGGAAAGCAAGCTGCCCCACAGCTGTGGTCAGGTGGGTTGTGCCTTTGGCTCTTTTCATGATCTGATTCTTCTCACGGCCAACATCCCCCTCACGCTCTATGCCACACTTCTTTCCCAAGGTTCAGACTTCCGTCCTCCACTGTCCGGAGGACTTGCCTGCTGCTCTCTCCAATGACTGTGCTTGAAGGAAGCTCACCCGTGCTCGCTGGCCTCACTTCACTGCTGCTGCATCCACTGCTCTGCTCATCCCAGGCTCGCCTTCTGTTCAGAGCGGCCAATGGTGGACACCCCAGGTCACATCTCGGACCCCAGCCTGCTGCTCCCAAGATGTGTAGCTATTTCTCCTTAAAGCTCTGTGTGTGTGCCATGTATGCACACACCATGGCCTACTCCAGCCCCTTTTGTTCACCGTGTCTCAGCTCCACAACGGATTTATAAGCTAAACCTTGTACATAGCACAACTGGCTATGGCCCTCTGGACCAAAGCAGGCCTCTGTCCATCTCGAGGGATCGACGGGCCAGACGGCAGCTGACACCTGCTAGCCCCTCCAAGGGCTGGAGCTGGGCAGCACCGACCATGCCAAGGGCTGCTTGCACGCGGCCTTCTCTGAATGTGTTTAAGCAGCTGAGTAAATTACCCTTGTTCTCAAAAGGAAAAAAAGCAAGTTGCTCTTCCAGTTCTCTTTCTTTCTTTTTTTAAAGAAACACGTAAGTTGGGTGTTGGCAGCAAGACCTCTGGCCTTGGCAGCGCTGGCTGCTCAGGTGTACTGGCTTAGCAGAAGGTGACATTTGCATAGAGGCAGGTATATTTACATACCTGGGGGCCCAGCTGGATCCTTCTGGAAACTTCCTGCTACTTTTTCTACCGTCCAGTTTCTCACCAGTAAACACAGTGTACACAGCCACGTTTACTGGTCTCACGTGGGAAACCGTGGGTCAGAAATAAGCACGAGCCGTAGGGAAGCCTTGCCACCAAGCCAACGGCAGGTCTGCTTGCATCAACAATCACTTAGAGCATGCCTGAGTAGAGCCTGGAGTTCACTCAACAGGAATGAATCAGTAATGGCTTTGAAGCTGGGACAAACGTACCCTGGCAGGACAAGATGCGAACACTGGAACCGGGAAGGGGTGCACACAGATGCCAACTGATTCTCTCAAGTCCAAAAGTTGATTTAAACAAGTCCGCACACGCCTTTTCCAGGCACAGAGCAGCACCCTGTGATCTTACGAATATGGCCTCATGTATGGGGGGCACAGCCCCACGGGTGCCAACCCATGCTGCAGATGAGGAAACGAGGCCCATGGGATCCACATATCTGAGGACACAGACCCAAGGTGTCGGAGTGAACTTGAGCTTGGATCTTATGAAATGTAACATTAGAGAACTGCACAAGACAAACATGGCTACTTCAGAAAGGTGTGTGGACAAATGGAATTACATTTATTTTGGTGTAACACTTTCTGAAGTCTATGTATAGTTTTCCATAATATGCCCTCATATGAATTTTTAGAAGACTCCTACATGTGTGAACTTCATTTTCTTTGCACTAAAATACATGTGTCTTTAGATTTTCTCTTTTCAATGAACTTAAAAACAGAAACCAACCAACCAAATAAACAAACAAAAACCAAAACTGTATTATTGAGCCCAGCATTGCAGGTAAAGAACGCCTTGTCTGCAATGCCAACATCCCACAGGCGTGCCACTTCGAATCCTGGCTATTCTACTTTCAATCCGTATCCCTTGCTAACGGCCTGGGCAAAGCAGTGGAAGATGGCCCAGGTGCTTGAGCTCATGCCATCCACGTCAGAGACCCAGATGAAGGTCCGAGCTCTTGCTTCAGCTTGGCCCAGGCCTAGCCACTATAGCCATGAGGGGGTGAAACCAGTGGATGAAAGTTCTGTCTTTCCCTCTCTCTTTGTAACTCTTTCAAATAAATAAATATTTTTTAAGAGATTTAGTTTCATTTCTTTAAAAGCAATCTCCCTTCTGCTGGTTCAGTCCTTCCCAAAACCTCAAGCCAAAGCCAGGAGTCCTGAACGCAGTCCAGTCCGCAGGTGGGTGGCAGGGACCCATGAGCACAAGCTCCCACCTGCTGCCTCCCAGTAGGAGCCTCAGTAGGATGCTGTATAGGAACAAATGGAGCTGAGCCCAGAATCCAGACCCTCCAGGATGAGATGTGGCATCACACTTGCTGTGCAAAATACCTGCCCTTCCATGCACCTCTTGCATATTCTCCATGTGCCCTCTGGACGTGAGCCAAGCAAGCACTGACACCCCACCATCATTCCCAAGTCTGCTATTTTCATGTTGCATCATGGTCACCATGAGGGAGGAAAATGTACCTTGAAAACTGTAAGTTGAAGAGGAAAACATTGAACAGGAGATCTAAAGACAAAGAGAATCAAAAGCCACTGTGAAGGAGCGTTTGCCCCAAGCCAGTTTCTGGCTAATGACATCAGAAAGGAGAGGGAGGAGTCGGAGTGGCAGGGACGGAAGGGGACAGCCGCAACCAAGTGTTGCAGCACTTACCACAGGGCGAGGCGCTGCTCAATCTCCTTGAGAAAATTGGTATGGAATTTGTGCAAAGGCTCGAAATTTGGGAAGATGAGACTTTTCAGTGTCTCGGGCATGGAGTCCTCTTTGCTCACCGTGCTCTGGAACCACTGGGGACAAAGAGAGGAGGCCTCAGGGAGTGAAGACACAGCGAAAGCCATCCAGGCAGACGGCAAGTGGAGCGCAAGGAGCTTTCTCTCTGGTGACATTTATGGAGTTGCCAGAACATTCCAGGTGTCTAGGCCTCCCACTCTTCCTCCCTGCACGTCAGCGGCAGAGAGGTGCATTTGTCTCTGCATTATTACATCCTGTAACTGGGGACCCACCATGCCAGCCAGGACCAGTCTCTTCAATGGGCATTGACTCCCATCCAAACCCTAACTCTGGCCAACACACTGGCTAGTTCCGAACTTAGGAGGGAAGAACACTCTGCTTTATTGCTTTAAGAATGGTCAGCTCTTTTCCTTTGCCAAAAATGCTAAACGTGGGCCCAGCGGTGTGGCCTAGTGGCTTAAGTCCTTGCCTTGAATGCGCCGGGTTTCCATATGGGTGCCGGTTCTAATCCTGGCTGCTCCACTTCCATCCAGCTCCCTGCTTGTGGCCTGGGAAAGCAGTCAAGGACAGCCCAATGCCTTGGGACCCTGCACCCGTGTGGGAGACCTGGAAAGAAGTTCCTGGATCCTGGCTTTGGATCGGCATAGCATCAGCCGTTGCGCTCACTTGGGGAGTGAATCATTGGATGGAAGATCTTCCTCTCTGTCTCTCCTCCTCTCTGTATATCTCATTTTGTAATAAAAATAAATACATCTTAAAAAAAATGCTAAATGTGAAGGTGGCCCACGCAGGACAGGAAGCGGCCCACGCAGGACAGGAAGCGGCCCCCTTGGTATGTACATTTGGGTCAGGTGAGTTGGGACTGGCATCCCTTGTAGAGTATGGAGCACCTGCCCAGGGCCAGACACAGTGCACAGCCCACAAGGCACAGCAAGTCACTGCCAGCCACCCACCTCCCCGTGCGCTGGGCTGACACTCAGAAAGGCGTCCAAATGCCTCAGGTCTGTTTCCAAGGCAGTGTCCTGGGGGATGCTGACATGGCACCGTTTCTCACCAATCAGAAAATGAGGCCCCTGGAATCTCTAAGGCGCCACCTTGAACGGAAGGAGCTCTGAGCGCCTTTGGGCAAACCTGGAATATTCTGGATCAGTGCACACAGGCAGGAAAGTGTTTACATTTTCTTTCATGGAGGAACTTTCCTTGTGCTTCAAAAACTACACTTCTAAAAACTTTCAGAATATATTCCAAACACACAGTCAGCATCTAATCTCCTGAAACTGAGACCAAAATCCTCTTTATGTTAGCAGAGAAGCCATGAGTTTGGATTAGCGACATCATTCCAATCCCCTAGGGAGAAGCCCGCACCCACCGAGGTGATGACTTCGAGGTCCTTCAGGTACGTCCGCTCGGTGGTGGAGACTTCCTTGGCAATAAAGTACGCCTTGTCGGTGGGCAACCTCTGCAGAAGCCGGCAAAGAAACACACTGCAGTCAGCAGCCTGTGGGTGGATGCCCGAGGGCCACCTATGGGCACCTCAAAACACCATGCAAAGATAAAACTGAGAAATGTCTTTTGATGCAAAAATGAGAGTCTGGCATAGTTTGCTGAACATGCCCCTTCCACGTATTTTTGAAGATCTCTCCCTCTGCAAGGCCTGGCGATGTTTCCTTTCACCTAGATTATCAGCAGCAGGATTCCAATCAGAAAATGCCAGGGGCAGTCCAGGAGAGAGAAGCCATAGAGACTCTTCTCCCCGCCACAGGCTGGCAGGGTCATTACTCCAGAAACCAAGTGCTATCATTGGTGGGTACCTGGAAGTAGGGCGCCAAGGGCAAAACCCACTGGCACGTCCATGGGAGCCCATGAGTGGGGCAGCCAGCACCACGCAAGAGCAGCCCACCCAGGGATTTTGTTTTCTCTTTCAAGAACATACCAAAGTAAAAGATCCTATTGCTTGCTGTCTTGCCGTCTTTGCCTAATCAGTGCAGAGTCCACCTCTGGCTGTACCCTATAAACCACCAGAACTGCAGGCAGAGGCTTAGAGTTACTGGCATACCACGCTAACAGCAGAACCACTCAGAGCAGCCCACAGAGGGGTACACCCCACATGCCCGCTGTGAGATGGGATCTACCATGTGGTCCGCACATACGACAGACTCGCATTCAGCCTTAGCAGTAATGGGCACACTGACACGTACCAACATGGACAGACCCTCAGGACCTCAGCTCAAGTGACCTGTAGGCCAGGCACAAATTCCAGTCATACAAGGTCCCTTACATAAGGCTGGTAAGGCTGGTGGTTTGCCTGTTTCAAGGATGGGGGATGAGGACTATTCGTTACCCAGGTCCAGCTTCAATCTGGGGAGATGTGACGATATGGGCATGGGTGGTGGCGAGAGTTACAACACAACATGAATAGCCCTAATGCTACCATGGCTAATTTAATATTCTTACAAATGATTCATATGGTAAACTTTGTTAGCTGTCTGTTGCTGCCACAGTTAGAAAGCTAACAGCCCCACACCCCCATGACATGCCCATACCCCACCCAGCATCACCTTCCTCCGGCCTTCCTCTTCGTCGTCAGTTCGTGGACACGCCTGGTCATTCAGGAGCGGACTGATCAAGGGAGACGCCTGCTTGGTGTCGGGGCTCAGGTTGGGAGACAAGGTCACGTTGGCTGGGACGGCTCCACCCTGGGAGTTGATGGACAGCTCTGAAAGGTGAGGGCTGCCAGTCAGGGAGCCTGTTTGGGGATGAGAAGTTTTAAAGAGAGAGAAAAAAAAGAAAAGTGATTCCATCGGGGACCCGATTTCCAGGCACAAGTTTCACCTTTGCAAATTTCTAGCAACTTAACTACCTTGTGGCAAACTCAATGTCATTCATTCTTTCGTAGTTCTTTCTTTCCTCTAACTGGAAGTTGCTTTCATATGAAAGATACCAAAGTATGGATAATCCAGTGGCGCCTCAGTTAATGGTAAGATAAAGAACTCGGTTTAGATAACAATTATAGCAGCTTAAAAGCACAGCGCATCTCAAAAGAGTGAATCTCCTCTAACTGCTACCTTTATTTCTAAAAATTACTCAAGAAAGACAGCATCTAAACCACAATGGGACAGGCGGAAATGGCTAGAAAATAGAACTATACTAACAAGCATCTAAAGGACTGTTGTACTCGTGACACACTACGTCTTAGAACATGGGGTCACAGCTACAAGAAAGGCCAAGCGACTAGCTCCCCATTCTACAAAGAACAGAGCAAATGGGTTATACCTGGCGGTGTCCTTCCACGTCTCTCACTGTTTGGGACAGAAACACTAGCGTCATGTGACACGCAAACGTGCTCATTGACAAAGGCAAAGCTGGAGATCCTGACATGCTCAGTGCCCCTCGGGGAGTCAAGGGTGGCAGCTAATGAGTTAGTCCTCGAGAAAGCATACCATATTAAGTGACACGAACATGTGGAAATAACCCATGGTGAGTGGCCCGTCCAGGACAACCTTTGCCAACACAAATTTCCAGAGTATGTGTCCCTGAACTCCTGGGAGCCATGGGGGCGTTTCAGAACAGACGTCTAGCTTGAATGTCTCTCCCCAACACTCCTTTGTGACCTTCTAAGGCACGTTGGTTGGAGCTGAGGATAACAGGTAGACGGTGCAATTAGCCTGTGGTAATCCTGCCACCGTGGTAAGGAAAGACAAGTGTGAGTGTCTCGGGTTCCCTACCACAATCTCCACGGGAAAGGTGAAGTTCATTTGCCGCCAGCGCATCCCTAGTCTCGCCTACTGGAGTCACTGTGAAGCCTTTGAAAATGACGACAGCCCACAGCGTGGAGGACAGCTGTCTATGGGCGGCCAGTGGACATGGGCCCAGCAGGAAGGAGCCGTGCAGCAGCTAGCACGAGCCCCTAGCCTGTTTCCCCAGCTGACAAGACAGTGGTGAAGAGCTACCTCACCTAGAAAAGCAGATGTTCTGGCCACTGGCTATGGGTCAGTACCACAATCCTTGAGTAAACAAGCTCAGAAAATGCAAGGAAAAGGCAAATTTGGGAAGTTTACCATGTTCAAATCCCTTCGCCGCTAAGTCTTCCCATTTTCAATATATTTCACTGAGAAAAACCTTGGCGTTTCCTCACAGACCCAGCAAACCCGGAGAAAAAGGCCAGAAATTGCTTCACAAATGTCAATTTTATTGACACTAGCGCACAACTGAACACAGCAAGCGTGAACGCATTAGAGCACGGCAACGAGAATAGTGACGACAAATTAGTACTGCAATTGTCTCAAAGAACTGTGCTAGTTTTTGTTTTTTTTTTTTCAGAAACAAAGCACACAAAGGGAAATGTTATTGCTACAAACAGGATTCAGAGATAGGCTTGCGGCAGGTGTCTGGAGTGGCGCATCGCATGCACTTGTACTTGCTGTTAGCGTCATGTTTCATCTGTCCATCAGCTGACAAAACCGAGAGCTTCCCGTCAGCTCCCATGTGGGGCGTGAAATCCGGTGAGGCCGTTGGACAGCATGCTGGGCCTTGGAGTCGCAGGCCCGGGGAACAGAAACAGCAGTGAAAGAGGTGGAGGCGAGATGAAGAGGTAGGGAGAAGTCTGGCTGTGAGAGGGGTGCGGGGTGCGGTCAGGCTCTGGACAGCGTCCAGTGACAGTACGAGAGAGCAAAGTGCAAGTGCTGCAGGGTTAGGAACAAGTCAGGTGCATGCATTCAGACAGCCCCACCCTCCCTAAGGCCCAAGGCTGCAGCACCTGTGCCATTGCACTGGGGAGCATGCCGACTGAAGAGTACAGCTCCAGCAGTCATGGTCACGTGTCTACTTCAAGGAACAGCACAGGATCAGCCTACCAGTGGTTGGGGTAAGAACCTGCTGTGGTTGAGCCCTGCAGCCTACAGATGTGGACAGCTGTGCACTTGGTATGTACCACACATAGAGACCCAGGATTAACTCAGAGTGGCTCATTTCCTTCTTCCCAAGAGGCTACACCAAGCTGGCTTCTCTCAGCGCCCGAGAGGGGAAGGGGAAGGGGTGTATTCAAACAGAAAGGTCAGTATTCAGTAACTGTCTAGTAGTCTGGTCTAATAACCCATCAGTCACTTTGAGAAAGAAGTTCCAAACTCTGAAGTTTAATCTGGCTAACTGGAGCTGTGGCCCTGGGGACAGGTCCCCTTGGTCCTTTCGGGTGAACCTTTGTGAGGTTTTGAAAAGTGGTAGGTGACACGGTTCAAGCAAAACTACATAGTTCCAGTGCCATTTAGCAATCAATGCTGCGCTGACAAGGCTGGTTTGGGGAATTTGGCACCTGGCGAATACTTAAAATTCTCCTTTAGCCACAGTGCGTGGCCCACATGGGTGGCTGTGAAGATCAAGGGGCCAAGGTGACCGAGTTAGGAGACCTACGTGCAATCAGTTCATACCGAGGCAGCCCAAACCAGCACGAGTCTCATGGGGCTGATCCAGCACTCACCCTGGCCCAGGTCTCATTCTGCCTGTCCCGTGCTGTGGAGACACAGCCTTGGGCGGTGGGGAGGCAGCTGTACTGATGCTCATTGGCAACGTGCAATGAAGTCACCAATGCCTTGACAATTCGACTGCTTTTTCCTTTATGATGGATTAACACCAAGCGATATCCTCCATCAGAGGGTAAAGAGCTGTGGGCGATCACTCAAAGGCGGTACCAGGACTCAAAGCTTCAGGGTAAAGATGTTTAGGGTTTAGGACAAGCTCATCCGCACCCTGAACTCAAGTTGTCAAAATCACCAGTCCCCATATTTTCAGAAGTACTGCATCTTTTTAGACACACAGCTGGTTTCTGCTGAGTAATTCTCCAGTCCTTCACCTTGTCCGCCCTTGCTGCCACCAACCTGTGTGAAGGGATTTAACGTCATGTTGCCACGGATGCGGCTCTCAAGGGAGTTCATTATCACTGTACACGATTGGGGACGCCCACCTGAGCACTGCCGCATGCACTTTCAAATTCTCTCCTAGCCCTGCAACTGCCTTCGCTGCCTTGGACTTGGCAGCCTACATGGCCTGGGTGGGCGGTGCTGGCATCCATGAGGGCAACTGTGTAGGGTGCTGGCACAGGGGGGAGTGTGGGTCCCAAAAGCCAGGAGGCCAGGCCCCACCTTTCCTCCTGCTTAGGGCTCGGCGCCAGCTGCAAGAGAACCAGACCTTGTCTGTGTGTACGGAAGGCTTGGGAACAACTCACGTAATACTGGGCAAAGAAAAAACAACTCTCATCTCCAAAGATGGCAGTTCATGGGACTTGGTTATGCCGGTCTTCTCTCCTACCCCACTAAGCTGGTGATCTCCATGCCTGACCTGGGTAAATTTTCCTTTAACCAAGAAAAGAGAACTAGAATACCTTATAATAACTTAAGAAAAAAAACAACACAGTACTTTGTAATAGGGTTGTGAGATATTTGAGGGTTACTTTCTCAACTTCTCTTTCCAAACTCCCTTCAGCATCACTCTGCACCCCTAATTTCTTTCGCAAGCTTATTGATGCTACTCGTCTCTCAGGGTTTCTCTCATTACTTGGCTTCTAAAATTCAAGCATTTTTCTATGAATTCAGAATATGTTACAAAGGCAAAGGTGGGAAACACATTAGTGACACAGGCTTTCTTTGCTTTCCAAAGGCTCTTTTTCATTTGCAAACCTTTCTCTGAAAGCGCAAGTAACGGTTCTATAGACTCGGCATAACAGGCTCTGTCCTCAAGAGCCAGGCTCATTGCATCTGACATTCTGGGTTGAGTCCCCACGGATGGGGTATGCTAGCAAAGAGCTGGTCATGCTCTGTGCAAATGACAAGGTTCCACAAGAAAAAGCAAGCTCTCGGCTATAAGGTCACCGCTCTTGGCTGTGCTGTCCTCTTGTGGACTCTTTAGGCTAGGGAGGGCCGTGTGTCTATATGCAGTTTTTAGATTTAGTAACTCTGAGAAAAGTTTCACATACAATTAAGACTCAACTGCAGTTTGTCAAACACGTCAGAAAGGCAACAGTGATGTAACTTCCAGAAAGAGAAATACACTAATGGAGAAATGATAGCAGGTGCATCCAGTTGTTTTGCTAATGGGGTGAAGAACAAGGAGGAGGAGGAGGTAGAGGGTTGGTGTTTGGGAGATGTGGTACTTCACACCAATGAAAACATCACCTTGCATTCAGAACAAAGCTGCAGCTACTGGTGGGAAAAGAACAGTTACAATGGATAGTTCTTACAGCAAGCTACCTGTTAGGACAAGTAAAAGCCTCTTTAGATGAATAAGCAATTTCAATTCCATGCATACACTGTTACATGAGTTTGGCCTTCCATGTGCAGTGTCACCAAGCTCATTATTACAGGGGAAGCCAGAGATCTCCGCAAAGGTGCAGGTGCATGCGCTGTGGAGACACTGCACTCCTGTGACCCCGTGCCAGAGAAGAGGAAAGCACGCAGCATCTGTGATGGCCTACACACTGGGTGTCCGCCAAGATGACCTGCAGCTCACTGGCCATTGAGGAGCCCACTGGGGCTGAGCTGGGCAGGACCTTTGCTATAACCCCACCTGCCACCTCCTAAACCCACCCAATGCTCTTTTAGAACACTCAAGTCAAATCCTCTCCCTTGTTCTCATTGCAACCAGGGAGGCACACCCTCAAGTCTCTGTAAGCTGTTGTCACAGATGCGCTCTGCCTCCGCGAGTGAGTCCCCTCCCTGCCGGACAGCGATCCTGCTCACACCCAGGCCTTCCCCTCTC